ACAGAGCGGGCCCCGCAGCCCTGCCCATCCCTACCTCGCACCAGGATCCGGCGGCAATAGTCCGGGTCCGCTGAGGAATTGGATTTACTTTTGTTGCAATCTTCCGCCGCGCCCGACGCCGAGAAGGCGCTCTGCGGCTCCTTGAGGAAGGCGGCGGGGAGGTTCCCCTCCGCGCCCTTGCCCTCCCGGCTCTCCTTGTGCGCGTTCTTGGAGACCCGGGCAGCCTCTGCGTCCGAGTGGCACCGAACGTCCATTTTGTCTGGTTTCCCGAACATAGGAGAGGCAAAAGCAACAAAACAAAAAAAGAAAGAAAGAAAGAAAAAGAAGAGGCAGAGTGGGGGGGACAAAACCCCAACAATACAGCCCCTGCGCCCGGCCCGGAGAGCGGCAAAAGGCAGGAATGAATGTCCCGGCGGGGTTCTGAGCGCGTCCAGTGTCCCCCGCCTGGAGAGCAGGTAGCGAGCGGCGCAACTCCGAAACGCTGAGGCTCCCGCCTGCCACTGAGGGCGAGCTGTAGTGGTCCGGCGCCCGGGGGGACGCACGCTCGCTGTGGCAATTGATTACGGGTAATTTCGCAGCCCCCACGTTTCGGTTACCTCATGAATACACTAAATTGTTTGGATAATATATCAGATCGTAATGGATGGTTTCTGTCCTTGTCCCCAATCAAGTAGGGGTTTAGCCAGTGAATAAACGGAAATGATTGGTCTTGCTTTCAGGAAACACACAATCAAAGACTCACACTTCCAGAAAAACTTTTGGCAAGATGCATGCTGAATGGTTAGCACCATTAGCCGGCGTTATTAACTTTCCCTTTGCCTTTGACCCTCCTGCTCACATACTGGCTAGAGGGTTTTTCTCCACACTCGACAGATAGAGCTGAATGAGGGGAGGGGGGAGAGAGCACACACACACACACACACACACGCGTTATTAACTTTCCCTTTGCCTTTGACCCTCCTGCTCACATACTGGCTAGAGGGTTTTTCTCCACACTCGACAGATAGAGCTGAATGAGGGTGGAGGGGGGAGAGAACACACACACACACACACACACACACACACCCCTCTTGCACACCCTGCAGCACAGTTGCCTGTAGAGAGGGGGAAAGAGAAGAAGAGGGAGGGGGGGAGGAGGAAAAGTTTTCCCAAAAAAGTATATCCCCCGCGCTCTAAAAAGTCAAGCTTTCATCCCAAACAACTCCTTAACACACCTCGATGCTGACAGCCATCTTAAACGGCCACCGCTCCGCATTTAGTCCCCGTTGGGTTTTTTCAAGCCTGCACCTCCAGCAGCCCTGAGCAGCCCATTCAAAGGGCAGCTTTGTACTCAGAGTCCAGCAGGAGAGAGAGGGGGAGAGGGAGAGAGCCTAGAAAATCTCAACTGTGAGATCTGCTTTTAAAAAAAAAAAAGTTTTCCCCTAGCTATTTCATTGTCTCTGCTACAATATCTTTGAGAAAAGCAACAGCCAGTAATCCAATAAGAGCATTGATTAGGCTACAATGATTCAATTCAAGCGCATGGCCTTGTGCAAGGAGCATGCTCCAGCCCTTCTCGTCACCTCGCCGGGGCAGAAGCCCTCTCCACTCCGCTCTCCCCATTCATTCCTTTATGGGAAATGCAGAGCAAAAGGAGTGAAAGATGGCAATTATCTAATTGGACTATTAACAAACAGTCCTCTGAGTGCGGAGGTCTGGCGTGGCTCCTGGGCGGGGGAAGGGCCGCGTTCCCTGCCCTCATTCACAAAGAGTGCAAGGGCCGGGGAGGGAAGGGGTTTTTTAAAAGG